AATGTGGAAGTGACATAATAGTCATGGGACCAGAAGTGGAATTTTTTCGGTAGAAAACCTAAAAATGCTATTAAATGACGCAACTAACCTTCATTATTTGGTTTCCGGTTAAAATTTTCCGGAGTTGTGGTCGGAAGGACGACGGGTGGTGAAGGGGAAAAGGTCACCGACTAGATTTGGTTAAATTGAAAGTCAAGGGAGTAATGTTGAAGTGTCATAATAATCATGGGACCAAAAGTGATTTTTTTCCTTTTTGAATCTCTTTGGCCTTCCCATCAATTGGATCCAAAAGCATGATTTCCACAACAGCCTTGTGTGAAGACTCGGGTTTGTCACGCAATTGCTCCTGACCCTCCATTTTATCCTTTCCTTTTCTCCATGTGACTTGAATCCATTGATTAGGAGACCTTATCTCTTCTGTCATAGCTTGATGGCCCAACCTTGGAACCCGTTTGTTTATGTTACCCTCCAGACATTTTGGAACACCACAATCCACCTTATTATGTCCAATCCGACTGCACTTGGTACAGTAGGCCAACAACTCATCATAAGAAACTGATGGAATAATTTCCTTGCTTCCATTCATAATCAATACTTTTGAGGGTATTTCATGTAACAAAGTCCAATTCCACAAAAACTTTTGCGGTTGATGGTCTAGTATGATTTAATGTCACTGCATCCATTTTAAGAGGTTTTCCAATCATACTTGCAATAGAGAAAAGAGCACTCTTGTCATGCAAATGCAAAGGAAGACCATCAAAAGATATCCAAACTGGAACAGTTGGTGACTCAACATCCGGGTGAAGATCTGGAGTCCATCGCGTGATCTTCATTCTAAATCTCTTGATGATATATAAGTGACGTAGCCAGCACCGTTGAAAATCCTCCTCTCTCGAAAATTTGATAAGAACATGACGTTGATCAAGCAAACCTAATGTCAAAGGCCCATGAAAACCAATCTTCTCGAATTCCTATCGTAAGGTAAACATCGATGGCCTTCCCTCACAAATGATCTGATCAATGCAAATCTATGCTGTGAAGCTAGGGTTGACACTTCTTCCTCTGAAAATTGAATGGCCGGCATACCTTTATGCCAAAACGATTCCTTCAACTGAATTTCTTTGTTTGCTGCGAGAACCTCCGCAAAGGAAGGCTCCACCGCCCCCGACCCACCGACCAAGGTGGTCCATGCAGGCTTCGCGGTCATAAGCCCTAGGTCGAGAGAACCTCCACAACGATCCACCAGACCAGATGAGTATATGCAGAAGAAGCAAGAAGAAGTCTCTCTCTCACAAAACCATATATGTGTGTGTGTGGCATGTGAGAGGAAACATTTACGCAAACCTTGAAATGAGGTCATCCACTGTTTTCTATTTGAATTCTTGTTGTAGGGATTGAATAGATCTAAAAAATCCCAAATCTAAAATGTGGGCTATTAGTAGGTTGGTATATGAGACGAATGTCCCACCCGTCTCCTGTGGCAACCTCCACAAATTATGGGTCGGATGGGTTAATGTGGGGTTTAACATTGTCTTGTTGAATGAAAATAGTCTTACTTGCACTTTGAGGCCACTTTTCCTTGATAGCTGGTAGTACCTTGTTTAACATACATTCTTTTGTGACTTGTTTAGTGATGGAAGTCACTGTTTTTGTCTCAAGTGTTCCCTTTTCCCTATGTTTGCTTCTTCTTTTTGCTGGTTCACTAGTTTTGAATGGGAAGATTCCTATCTTACCATCAAACAAAACTTCACCATTTGGACCAAATATTGGCCAAGCAACTGCAGCCATGAACACAATCTTAGTTATGAAACTTTTAGATTTGCAACTTCTATGTGGATCCATTTCTTCTTGCGTCAGATAGTACTCTTGACTTGTTTTTGTCAAAAAGAACCATTTTCATCAATATGAATGTAGTTTTGATGATCAATGATCGAACTTAGGATCATTCAATAGTAAAGTAAGCTGAAATTGAGAAAGCACAAACATGAGCCCTTTTCTTTTGTTCTCTTCAGTTAAATAAGGTTTGATTGCATTGCTATGGCTTCTTAGTTCACCTCTTTTTACAGCCCTATGAACTGTTGATTTGCCCATTTTCAAAGCATTTGCAAGTCTCCTTATGTTAGTTCTCTGTTCTAGTGGAATCTGACTCACCACGATGTTGTCTACTTCCTTCTTTGGCCTTCCCTTTTTGCCCGGAATTCTGGATTTCACATTAATTTCTTCATGTTGTTGCACCTGTCTATTTGCCTGTGCCTAGATTGTACTCACGGTTTTTCTGTTTACCTGAAATGCAGTAGCTGTCTCACTTATGGAGCCCTTTTGCAAAGTACCCCCCAATCAGTGCCTTTTTTCTCGAAGGACATCTACAATGCACTGTCTCTCAGCATCTGACAAGTTCCTATTCCTTTGGGTTGTAACTAGCGTAGTCATATTCATTTTGCTTTTAATGTGCAAGGGATAAACCTGCAGGCAGGTTGTTGTACTTCTTTAATGCCCCATACTCTATTAATAGAGGGCTTATGTATGTAATTGTTGGAGACTTTAACATTTTGGGGGGATTTGAAAATTTCAAGTGGTAAGAATTTAAGTTTCAACTGTATGCTTTTACTTTTTGGCGCTAAAGTTTGGCGGTAAGGATTTTCAGCTTCTAATATTCTAAAATGTGTGTCTAGAATAATGGGATAAGGATTTTTTAGAATCAATAGTGCTTATATGTGTCCAGAATAGTGGGGTAAGGACTTTTAATAATCTGCAATGCCGTCAAAATAGTGGGACATGAGTTTCGTATGTCTTGTACTGCTTTTGTATAAAGTAACAGTAGTGAACACTGCCTACAGGAGACCCAATTCGATGCCTTAGGGGGACGAAGGGAGTATTATATACATTATTTTATATTAAAAATGGAATAGTGCAGAAAATTGTTTAGGGCGCAATTTGAACGGCTTGTGCGTTTGTACGCTTAAGTAAAAAATGAACATGGATGTCGAGATATGTGGAATAGTGCAGTGGATTTTTTTACCAAAAAAATTGAGTCATTTGACCCTTTTCCATGAAACAAGTATATGAAGTTATCAACAAAAAGAAACAAAAAACAATAAGATGATAATATTAATTTATTTATTTTACCTATTTTAAAAATTTAAAACTAGAAGTTCAGATTGTTTTCTTTATTTTTAATATATATATATATATATATATATATATATATATATATAGTATTTTAATTATAACAACTTTATTTTTTCATGGTTTTACAACTTTACACGCTGTAAAGTTTACCCAAAATATATGGTTTTCTAGAATTTACAAGTTATATTTTCTGTTTTTAGTTTATATAAAATATTGTTCGAAATTTTTAATGTTTTGAAATTTTATATATTTAATTGATATTTTTTACTTTATATACTATGTATATTCTAGTTTTAGAAATATACTCTGTCCCAAAAAATTTAAATTATATATTGTTTAAGATTTCATTCACAGTTTTAGAGTTTATACAAATTTCTGATTTTAATTTTTTTTAAAATAATACGAGTATTTAATTTTGTACATAAATTAAATATATATTATTTTCAACACAGATATATTTCTCACTTATCATGTTTTGTGATATTTGAGTTTATACTCTTTTTCAGTTTTAGTCTTTTAGATATTTAAAATATTTAAATTTTTTATATTTTTAGTAATATTAAAAAAGAGTTTCGTCTAAATATTTTATTTTTATATGTTGAATATTTAAAATATCTAGCCATTTTTTCAATTTTATTTTTTTTGCACTTTTTCCATATTGACGTTAAAAAATGTATAATTTCTTTGGTTTTGAATTTGTTCTTTTTTTGGACTTTACTTTTTGTATAATTATTTTCATGTTTTAGACTTTAAATGAACTTTTACATCTTTTCCATTTCAAAACGAATTTGAAGTAATTCATGCACTTTGGATTAATTTAAGAAAGAGGGGTAGTGTTTTAGAACCTAAGTGCTTTTGTGGATGAAGAGTCCGATTACCTTATTTTTTTGGCTTATGAGTCATTTTTTCATCAAACACGTAATGTTTAATTTTGCGAGCTGAATTGTGTTATACTAATAAAAGTAAGGTTTATGTTACTTTTCTAGCTGTCTTGGCTGAAGTTACTGTTGATTATCATTTTAGTTGTTTTTTCCTATATTTTTTTATACTCCGTATCTCATTAGTAAAATATATTTTAGTTCCCCCCCCCATAAATCAACAGAATGAGTTAACCCAATTACTTTAGTCAGAACTTCATAAATTTCTAAAGAAGCAGTCATTACCATCGATTTAGTTATTACCAAACAGGCTCGAATATGTTCCTATAGGCGACCATGCCTCTCTCACCCGGATAGGGATGGACCCGGTCGGCGGTCCTAGACCGGATCGGAACCGGACTCGCCACTGTGCGGGACCGAATCGAGTCCGTTTTTCCAATCCCGGGCTTGGACCGAGTACCCGATCGAGTATTGGGATGGAAACGACAACCGACGCCGGACCGCCATTTCAAGGAGGAAACGACAACCGACGCCGGAAGCGACTCCGACGAATAGTTCATGTATTGTAATTTTCAACTTCAAACTATTCTCAATTGTAATTTTCAAATGTGATATTGATACAAGTGACAATGTAGTGTTTAAAATAAATATACATCATTTATTTATTGTACAATATTTTTGTTTTAAAAAATAAGGGACTGGACCACCCGAGACTGGACCGGAACAGGACGGGTAGACCGGACCGGAAGCGGGTACATTGTAACCCGGGCCGATTCCGGTCTTCACAAATACAACTCTGGACCGGCCGGTCCAGGATCGGAAACGGGTCCATCACTCCATCCCTACACCCAGATGGTCCATTTGTGAAAATAAATGTGTTGCAAGTCTATTTTTTTTTTAAATTGAAAATTGAAAAAAGTGGTACACATGTTATTTTCACGTTTAAACCTATTTGTAAAGTTTTCCTATAAATAAAAATCACTTGTTTTGTATTGTATGACCACGGACCGTCACGCAGGCCCAACTTAAAACAAAGTTTCGCCCAAAATGCAATTAGGAATCGCTCTTATAGCTCTCAAAGCCGAAAACCTGTTCTCAACGGTGAAGTTCCTGCCGCTCGCACCTCCATCAGGTGAAGCTTTCAGGCTCGGCGCCTGTAGCTAGCCATTCGGTAGGGTTCAAAAGTTAACTTTAACCCAGTAAGTATTGTTCGACAACTCCAAAAATTTAAACTTCTTAGGTCTCAAACTCCAATTTAAGTCTTCACTTCAAATTACCTATAATTTTTTCCCATTTGCTGTTTCATGCGCTTCCTGCGGTGATGCCTACCTGCTACATTAGTTTTATCTAGTTTATTTTTTTATTTGTAATTTTTCACAGTAATCTAGTCATTGGTTTATTCTTAATACTCATGAAATATTATTTTCTGTCTGTCATACCTTAATCTAAACTCTCTGAATTAATTTTTAATCACCATTGAGAATCATTTTGGTTACATTAAACATGCTTGATACATAAACAGAACCTGGGAAAACAGATTTAATGTGAATTTAAGGAATTCAAATTTTGCTTATCATTATTATTATGGATGTGTAGAACTAATAAAATTTACCTTGATATTTATTGGCACTACAAGCACTGTGAAATGGTGATGATTGTTGGTTCAGGGTTATTCTCTCTGTATGTCAAGAAATATTGTAGCATGCTTCACCACAATGTGCAGGAAATTACATTTCTGCTAGAATATAATGAATGTCAAGTTTTTTACATGCTTTATTTTTATAAAAAAAAGTTATTAACTCCGTATCAGCCGTCCATATATCCTACATCCGGGTGAGTACACCCAGCCCAACTAACGAAACTGTCCAGTAACCTCATTCCCTTGTTAAATAATCGATCATGTCCCGCGTCTTCCACTCAACTTTCCTTCTTCTTTTTTTCTTTTTCTTTTATATCTATAATTCTTAAACTACCTGGAGTATCTCAAATAGAATCTTGCAAATTATACATTTGCAACTTGCGACGCTGCGACTGCGAAACTACAACAGGAAGCAGAAGTAATAGGCGACGCTCTCACGACGCAGAATAGGCGATTCCGAGTTCCGACTTGGAGTGTTGGTCTGCTGGACGGAGTGGACGGCTGAAGTTGGTGAGGTATCTGCTGGTTTGCTCTTTGCTGGATGGTGTATAATTGGGTGAGGCTTGTTTCCACTTTCCAGTAAGTGCTGATCTGATCTTAATGGGCTGAATCGCTAAAGCTGGTGAAACATTTACTTTTTCCTTTAATTTTTTATTATGCATATAGAATGTATTATAAGGATTAAGAACATATGTTTTGTATATTTATCTCATATTTGTTGGACGTAAACATTACCTATATTAGTAAAATTTTAATTTTTAGTCGGATATTTTGATGTTTACCTATATTACCCGTATCTTGATATTTTGACATTAGAGTTTCCCTGTTTGCGTCCCCGTTTTGGTTTCCGTACCGGTGCTACTTAGCTTCTTTGAACAAAGGAAGAAACTTCGCCATGAACATCTTAGGCACTTGGGCATGGAGTTAGAACTGTAATAGAGATAGATTCTAAGATTTAAAGCTTGATACCAGTATACCTCCTCATCTTGAAATATGCACCCATGTAGTCTTGTTTTGGTTTTAGTCTCTTACCAACAACCACATGCCCACCATTTTTGTTAGGGTTAGGATCTCTAGCGCGCACACACAAATCTGAAAAACTAGAAGAAAAATAGAAGAACACACAAGAATTTAACGTGGTTAAGTCAGTAAATGTTACTGACCTAATCCACGGGGGCGATTCGGGTTTTCTGTCTTATTGAGGTGATGAATAATACAATCAGTTGTTTACAAGTACATGAGTCAATATATAGGCAAACAATTAGGGTAAACCCTTAATTAGACTTTGGGCTCGACTGCCAAGAAAGGAAATGGCCCAGCTAGGGCTGGCTGCATATCTAGCTAGGGCTGGCTGCAGCTCCTTGTTTATCTGGCCGAAGCCTACACCCCAACAATCTCCCACTTGTAGGCTTTGGAACATGATCAGCTGCACTCCACTCACTCTCTGTACTTCTGTAAACACCATATCTTTGTCATGTATATTTTTATAGGGATTAGGGACATAACCCTCCAATGAAATACACAGAAATTTCTTTCACCTCCAATATGTTTTCTAGTCTATACTTTCTGTTTCAACAGTTTTTATGCTGAATTTTGGGCATAAGTGTGCTTTTGTTCGTCTTTGACATATTAATGTGGAATATAATGGTTTTTGTCTTTTTTGGATGTCACCTTCAAGGATCAGGAGTCCACACCTGACAGCTCACATTCCCGTAGCCCAAAAGAATCGCGTGGCACGTAAGGTTAGAGAGTTGCTATTGTTAATTCCTTTATGTTTTCGGGGGTAGCAAGCATTTCCGGTTCCCAACAATATTACCCCGCTTCTTTGTTTTATATGCCTGAATTTCTGAACATTGGTATTTCTGTATTTTACTTGTTTCCCCCCTAAAAATGGCTAACTAGTGATGACAGAGAGTGCTATTGGTTTGTTTTCTATAATCAATATCTTAATTCATAATTGTATGTGTGCATGTATTGATAGTTGAAATATTTATAGCTGTTTATGCATTATACTTTCTGATGTGTGAAATATTTATAACAGTTCCATACTTTTATTTGGGCTTTTGGAATTAGTACATGTAATTTAGGTTTTGTATTGAACGCTGTTCTATAGGACTTAGTATATAAAAAAATGGCAGAAGATTTGAATGGTAGAACCAGTGGAGATGCTGATGAAAAACTTAGAAGTTTGCATTTGTTATCTATTGATGAAGATGAACTTGATGACAATGGACATGCTGATTCATATGACGATGAGGATGATGAGGAAAAAGTACCTATAGCATTAGGCTTTGTGGAGAAGAAGAAGAATTCATGGTCTCTCCTCCGACAGTTCTTCCCAAGCAAAGCTGGGGGTACCCCTGTATGTTCTGTACACAACCATGATGTATAATTTTTTAAAGAGAGTCTTTGACGAGTATTGGTTTGGGATTTTTCTGATACAGGCTTGGCTGGACCCAGTTAACTTGCCTTCAGGGAGGTATTGTGTCTGTGACTTCTGTGGCGAACCTTTACAATTCATGCTCCAGGTATATAAAGTTACTCTTCTGTGACCTGATGTTTGTTTCCTTCTTTAAGAGAGATACTTGAACCTTTATATTTCATATGAACCACTTAATTTTTGGTATTGTTTATTTGCATAAATAATTTAAGATAATACGAGTGTAATTCATATGAGGTGTCTCGAATGAGATTCCTGTATGATGCACTCTGTTTTTGGCCAAATCATATAAGTCAACAGTCCAAAAGTTTTCACTCATTAGCATCAACTAATAATTTAACTGTTAGATCTCGTTGAAAATTCAATTTTGCCAAAGATAGCCTCCGGTTAATGGGTCCGTTAGTGTGAATTGACACATAAGACTGTTTGGGATAACTTGTGATATAGTCATATAGCTGCCATATCATCATGATCTAATTTAAGCACGTAAAGTGTAAATCCTGATCAATTACTGTAGCAGTACTGACTACTTATATAGTTTATCATCTATTTGTTCATCATAAACTTTAAATTTGTAATTTTAAATATTATATTTGTCATTTTTATACCGATAACATAAAGCTATTTGCATTTCTTTTTCAGTGAAATTAAATTGCCATTATTTGTACTGTTTCAGATATTTTCATATTTAGTTATCGTTTAATAGCTTAATAACTTCATTATGCAGGTTTATGCACCACTAACTGAGACTGACTCAACATTTCATCGTACACTGTTTGTCTTTATGTGTCAATCAATGGCTTGTCTCCTTCAAGATCAACATGAACAGTGGAAACGACACCCAGAACTGGCATTACGGAGGTATCTTTAATGCCTTCGCAATCTGATGCTTCTATATTAATTATTGTGGTTCTCGCTTCTATATTCTAACTGTGATCACTTTTGATGAATAAGTGTCAAGGCGTTTCGCTGTCAAATGTCTCGACTCAACTCATTTTATTCAAGTGAGCCTCCAGAAAAAGATGGGACAGCTAGACCCTCTGGAGATGGAGGTAATTAATGCTTATCTTGAACAACAACTGCATTAGCATATGTTGTAAATCAATGCTGGTGGTTATCAGGCTTCTGTGCCCTTTTGGGCTTCCATATAGTCATCTAATTTCATTCAATCGGCGACTTACATCCTATTCTTATAATGCTTGGAAGTTTAAACTGTTCATATAAATGTCATCTCTTTGGTGATTTTTAGTTTATGTTTTGTCTCTGATGCAAATTTTGGGTTGCAGCTGCGCTTTGTAGTTGGTGTGGTACATGGAGAGGAGATAAAGTTTGTAGTGGTTGCAAAACAGTGCGTTACTGTTCTGAGAAACACCAGGTAGACTGATATTATATGTTTTTTTTGTTGTTCCTTTTCTTTATTGTTTCATTTCAGGCTGTTCATTGGCGATCCGGACATAAGAAGCAATGTTTCTCAAACATTTCACTGAGTGAATCCAGCTGCGCAGTTGCAAATTTGCCAAAAGGTAATAATGGTTGATACTTGATACTAAGAGTGGCTAGTTTAGAGAAGGCTTGTGGACTTGTGGGCTTATGGAGTGGGATATAATAGAAATAATGCTGAGTATTTTAGTAAAATGTAATAGTGGGCTGGCCCATTAGAAATAGAATAAATAAGTGAGAGTGGTGAGGAGATGGGCAGGCAGAACTTGGAATAGGACTGGGACTTGGGAGAGACGAGGCACTCTCGAACTTGCCTCATCTGTATCGTTTCCTTTCAGTTTCTACAATTTCAGTTTTAATATTAAACAATTCATCGCCAGATTTCTGTGTACCTATCATTGGTATCAGAGCAGTCGGCCCTGGGAAGCTTCGATCGACATTCACGCAACAATAAAAAAAATGGAGAATCGCACTTCTGGTTTGCGCGCAAATCTGGAGAATAGCACCCGAAGTGTTGAAGGCCATGTTACGAAGATGGAACGATGCTGGACGAGATGATAAATCATCTGCGTAAACAGCGTCGTCGGAGAACTAGAGGCCGAGCGAGGAGTCCTCCTAGACGCCGTCGGCCAACTGAAAATCAGGTTTCTTCGACCGTAGCTCTTCCTAGTTCGCAAGCATGAACAGTTTGTGTTTTACCTAGTTCGCAGACCTCGTCATTTGCGCAGGTCTTTTCTCAGTCGCGTGCACTTCCGTCCATCTATCTTGCTTCTTCGAGAACTTCTTCTCACGGTTCACAATCGCTATATTCTTCGCAATCGCAGTCGCGCACAGTGTCCACCAGTTCACAGGGCTCAATGAGCGACTTATCTCAGTTCGCAGGTCTCACCGCAGGTTTCATCACATATTTCCGCTTCTCACAGTCCGCAAGTTGAGTCAGTTTCATTCCCGCAGCGGTCTGTGAGTCAGCGACAACCTAACTCTGAAGATACATTCATCAATGGTGATGAGGAACCAGAGGAGAAAACTTCTGTGGTGATTCAGTCCATTGCCATGGAATATGAATCTGGCGTTGATAAAATTGTTGGTTCAAATACTTGGGAAAGCTCTACAGAGATTGTCCGTATAGAGGAAACTGAGGAAATAAAAGAGGATGAATCAAAGTCTGAGAAAAAGGAGGACGAAATTGAAATGTAAAACCAAAATAATTCCTCTGCGGGGTTTGATAGTTTGAGCTATGTTCACGGTTATAATTCTGATCTTATGAAAGTAGCTAACAATAGTGATGCTGAAAAGGTACTGCACCACTATCATATCACAGAAGACGAATTAGAGGTCCGTGGTTGTCTTGGTATGGATTATAATCAGTACTTTGGTGGTGGTGCGATGTACTGAAATCCTTTTGACCCTATTCAACAGTTCTTAACTATGGGGACCACAGATGGTATGCTGAAAGCAGTTGGAGGGAACAACATGGAAGGCCCTATGGTATGGGAGCTGGAGAACAAACACTTATCTTCTATATTAAAAAGGAAGTCAAACCTACCCACATTCTCTGCTATCTGTGGCACTTGCATGTTTTTGGGGAAGGAATATGATTATGTGTCTATGTTGAAATATGATGCCGGAAAAATACAGGTTGTACATTTGTATCAGCAGGGTTCTAATGGAGACTGCCTGGATGCTTCAACTCATGGTCATGAGGTGATTGAGAAAGGGGTAGGAATAAAGGAAGCTGCTGGGGTTAGGTACTTCACTGGCACGTTTGACAGCCCCTTGGAGTCTCACCTTTATTGTTCTAAACAGTTCCCTGTAATGAACTCTACTCCAGAAATACTGCTAATATTGACACAGGGGATGAGAAAACATGTGGTTGTGCTTGACCATCATATGCATATGGTTGTTGACATGTTTGATTCGTTGCTTTCACCTTCCAGAATCTCCTTTTTCGCCTTGCCTGATGGAAGTTTCAGCTTGCAACTGCGTGAGCAACCAAGTAACCAACCCCAATGAGTTTTCCAATGCTCAAAATATTCCAACTGGAAATACCAGAGATAACTCAAATACAAGCACAACATGGGAGTACCATGTTTGATGGGACTCTATATAAACCAGATGAAGCAACGTCGGGACCTCTGTCATATAAAACTATGATTCATGTATATGGGGGTCCTGGTGTCCAACCTATCAGTGACTCAAGGGCAAACACAATTGACATGAAAGCTCAGTTTCTAAGGAGTTTAGGTATCTTAGTTGGGAAGCTCAAGGTTACAGAGGGGCCCATACAAGTAAATTGTGGGAAAGGCGTCCATGGTGGGGTTTATGTGTTGGAACGAAGTGGTCCAACTGTAATTGTTGTAGTAATGGTTTCAGATTCTGATATCCATGAGAGCTTCTGGATACACATTCAGACTGAAAATCTTGTCCGTCAGGTGTTGCAGCACTTTAGTCAGTTAAATGAGCATTCAAAGCTTCCTATGTCGAGAAAGGCTACATGGACTGTGTCAAAACTCTGTCGAAGCAAGCCGCTCTGTGATCTCTTGATATATCCAGATCCAAGAATGGCTATTGTGTGTCTGAAAGGGCTAGAGAACATTCTGAAACTAGGTGAGGCGGACAAAGAAAAGGGATTGAATGGTGGGTTCAATTTATATGCACAGATGGTTGACGAATATGAAGGATGAGACAGTCTAGACAAGATTGTGAATGTCCAGATTTTGGACAACAAGACATATGGAAAGGCTGTGAAAATCTTAGATAAGTATAGGGCTGAGGAAGTGATCATGATGAAGGTTCAAATGCTGAAAGAAGGGACACGAGGATGAAGCTGGATGGCATGGCTGCTCTTACTCCCCACCTTGAGGACAAGGTGGTTGTCAAAGGGGGGAGTGATGATAGAGACCTGGACTTATGGGCTTATGGAGTGAGATATAATAGATATAATACTGAATATTTTAGTAAAATGTAATAGTGGGCTGACCCATTAGAAATCGAGGCACTCTCGAACTTGCCTCATCTGCATCCTTTCCTTTCAGTTTCTACAATTTCAGTTTTAATATTAAACAATTCATCGCCAGATTTCTGTGTACCTATCAGTTTTTCATCCCTGCAATATGTGATATTTTCATTGTAATCTCTACCTGATAGTAACCAGTAGCAATCCACAATACACACAACAAGCTTACAACAATTCACAAACTTCATTAATGGCGGTAAACCGTAGAACAGTCCCAAAGCTAGAGATAATACTCTAACTTCCCAGTCCCAAGCCAAGCATCTAACAGACTGCCTAACTTCTGACCAGTTTATTCTATTTATAGTCCCCTCCCTTTATTACAAGTAGTTAGTATTTCATAACAACTACCCGCCTGCCAACAACTAAACTACTTCTTCTTTCTAGAATAGACTAAACCATATCTATTCTTATTAATTGTAATAGCCGGGGTCCTATCAATACTCCCCCCCAAAGAAACAAGCTTGTCCTCAAGCTTGAAGTCTGGAAATTGTATCTTCAACACTTGAGCATCTTCCCAAGATCTTTCAAATTCTGGCAGATCTTCCCAGTGTATCAAAACTTCAATTCTGCCATTTGTTCCCTCTCTGGTATCCACCACCTTCTCTGGTTTCACCAACAATTCCCAGTTTTCACTCAAGCATTTAGGCAATGGTTGACAACTAGTGTTGGAAGATAGAGCCCTTTTTAATAAAGAAATATGGAATACTGGATGGATCAGGCAATCATCTGGCAACTTCAGTTTAAAAGCTACATCATTCACCTTCTCAATGACCTCAAAAGGTCCATAAAACCTTGGACTCAATTTCTGATTGATCCTCTTAGCCAAACTCTGCAACTTATAAGGCTGAATCTTCAGGAAAACTTTCTCACCCACTTCCAATTTCATTTCCCTCCTGTGTTTGTCTGCTTGCTGCTTCATCTTGTTCTGGGCAATAGCTAGATTTTCTTTGAGTTCAGCTAACATTCCATTCCTCTCAGCTGTCAGTCTTGCCACTTCCTCATTAGCAGTCCCAACCACATCCCCTTTTATAATTGGTTGAGGTTCTTGCCCATATAAGGCCTGGTAAGGTGTTTGTTTTAAGGAAATATGGTAGTTAGTATTGTACCAATACTCTGCCCAAGGTAACCACTTGTTCCATTCCTTAGGTTTCTTCCCTGTGATACATCTCAAGTATGTTTCTAAACACCTATTCACAACCTCTGTTTGCCCATCAGATTGAGGGTGGTAAGCCGTACTGTATCTCAACTGTGTGCCAGCCAGTTTGAATAACTCAGACCAAAAAGAACTCAAGAAAATGCTATCTCTATCACTCACTATGGATTTTGGAAACCCATGGAGTCTCACTATTTCTTTGATAAAGAGTTCAGCAACTCCTTTAGCATTAAATGGATGGGACAAAGCTATAAAATGTGCAAATTTGGTTAGTCTGTCAACCACAACCAGTATAGTGTCTTTCCCTTGAGCTTTTGGCAATCCACCAATGAAATCCATGCTTATGTCTGTCCAAATGCAATCTGGAATAGGTAGAGGTTGTAACAACCCTGCAGGCTTCAAAGCTTGATACTTGTTTCTTTGACAAACATCACAATTCTGCACATATAACTGAATCTGTTTCCTCATACCCACCCAATAGAACAATGTTGAAACCCTCTTCATAGTTCTGAAATTCCCAGAATGTCCTCCTGTAGCAGAATCATGATACTCCTTAAGAATCCTTGTCACTCTAGGAGAATTTTGGGGTATCATCAGCCTTCCCTTGTAGTATAACAACCCTTTCTTCATTCTGAAGTCCACCATCTTATCAGGATGACTTAAAATCTTCTGAATAATATCAGCACATTTTGGATCTTCCTGCAGTTCATCTTCTAACCCTTCCCATTCCTGACAGTTCACAACTGATAAGGCTGACAAATTAGGTTTCCTTGACAAAGCATCTGCAGCTTTATTCTCACATCCAGGTTTATATTTAATGATAAAATTGTATCCCATAAGCTTAACAATCCACTTTTGTTGATCCTCTCCCATGATTCTTTGCTCAGTCAAGTATTTGAGACTTCTTTGATCCGTGTGAACCTCAAATTTCCTACCCAATAAGTAGGGCCTCCATTTCTGAATTGCAAACACAATTGCCATCAACTCCTTTTCATACACAGATTTACTCAAATGCTTGGGTGCCAGTTCCTTGCTTAAAAATGCAATGGGACCCCCATCTTGCATAAGTACTGCCCCTAGCCCCCTCCCAGATGCATCAGTTTCTACTACAAAAATTTTATTGAAATCAGGGATTCTCAACACTGGTAAAGAAGACATAGCATTCTTCAATTCTACAAAAGCTTTTGTAGCCATATCACTCCATTTAAACCCATCCTTCTTCAACAGTTGTGTCAATGGAGCAGCAATGTGACTATAGCCCTTGACAAACCTTCTATAATATCCAGTAAGACCCAAAAAACCCCTCAACTCCTTCAAATCTTTTGGTACACCCCATTCTACCATGGCTTTAGTTTTAATAGGATCAGCTGCCACCCCTTCTGAGAAATAATATGACCCAAATAACTCAGTTGCTCCTGACCAAAGGAGCACTTCTTTTGATTGGCTACTAAATCATTCTTCTTTAAAACCTCCAGAACTAATTTGAGGTGTTCTTTATGATCCTCCTTAGTTTTGCTGTAAACCAGTATATCATCAAAGAATACCAATGCAAATTTCCTGAGGAAAGGTCTCAAAACCTCATTCATGAGAGCCTGAAAAGTGGAAGGAGCATTAGTCAACCCAAATGGCATGACTAGGTACTCATAATGACCTTCATGAGTTCTTAAAGCAGTCTTACAGGTGTCACTCTCCTTCATTCTGATTTGGTGGTAACCTGACTTCAGATCTAGCTTGGAAAAAACCACTGCACCCCCCAATTCATCTAGCAACTCTTCTATAACTGGTATGGGAAACTTGTCTGGTATAGTGATCTTATTCAAGGCTCTATAATCACCACAAAATCGCCAACCACCATCTTTTTTTCTAGCCAATAAGATAGGACTGCTGTAGGGACTGTTACTGTGCTTAATGATACCTGTTTTCAACATTTCACCAATTACCTTTTCTATCTCATTTTTCTGATCAAATGTGTACCTGTAGGGCCTCAGATTTGGTATGCTAGCTCCTTCTTGGATGTTTATGGCATGATCACAGTTTCTAGCAGGAGGAAACTTCAACTGTTCATTAAACACCTCTGGAAATGTGGCAATGATGTCTTCCCAAACCTTGGTTTCTTTAGTATTCTGTTCCAAACCAAACAATTGCCCTCCATAGTACAGACAATATCCCTCTCCTTCTGTCTGCAGAATCTGAAGCATAGTCTTCATTGGAACCTCCCAATTATTCAATGCAGCTTCCCCTTGGATACAATTTATCCTATCTTCTTGTTTCCATTTGATCACTTGCTTCTGAAAATTCACTTCCATGTCTCCCAACTCAGTCAACCATGCCATCCCCAAAACCATATCTGTGCCACCCAATTCCAGTATATAGTATGATTGATGTATGTCATTCCCCTGCACTTCCATCTTCATTCCATCACATCTCCCCTTGTTATGGATGAGATCCCCATTACCAATCTGCACACTAACTCCTTGTAAAGGCATAAAAGGTACTTCCCATCTGTCAATGAACCCTTGCGCTATGAAGTTGTGTGTGGCCCCACTGTCAATCAGAATATTGACAGGTTGTCTCCCATCACCCCAGCTCAACACACCTTGCACCTTGAATGTTTTCATTGATGGAATACCCTCCTTACTTAAAACAGACAGTTGCATTGTTTTAAGTTGTTTGTGAGTATCATCTTCTTCTCCCCCTTCCATTACTTCTCCTTCAGATTCCTCTTCTCCTTCAGACTGCTCCACTAGAATCATTTTATAATTCTTCATTTTACAGACATGACCCTTGCCCCAGTCCTCTCCACACTTGAAACACAATCCCCTCCTACTTCTTTCCTGGAGCTCACTCCTGGATAACCTGGGGCCTGATGTACTCGTATTAGGTGCCTTCATGTCACTATGGCTTCTGTACTCTGAGTTACTCTTGGGTAGGTTAGAGTTACTGTTTGCCATACTTTTCCATCTGCTCCCTTCACCCCAATTTGCTTGATAATTTGGGCCATTATTCTTACTTAGCCCCTTTTTCTTTCCTTCCTCTCTGTTCTTCATCAACATTGCTTCATTATTTTTGTTCTCAATAAGAGAAGCTTGGCCCATGAGTTCAGCTAGGGTTCGTGTAGTATACAACTTCAGTTCAGCCCTGATATCTCTTCTCAGTCCCTTAAGAAAAATGCCTTTCAGAACCTCCTCGGTTAAGTGTCCCTGGGACGCTATGGCTGTTTCAAACTTGTCTCTGTACTCCTTCATCGTTCCTCTCTGTTTTAAGCTGAACAACGGTCCTAATGGATCCTGTACCAGCTCTGGTTGAAAACGTGTAGTCAAATCCTTCGTAAATGTCTCCCAATTCAAGTGGCGAGTCTGACCTTCCCACCATTGGAACCAACTAAGTGCTTGGTCCTCCATTGCCAGAACTGCCAGGTCAATTTTGTCACGCTCATCAGTCTGATTCAGCCTGAAATATCGATCCATCCTCATTAACCAACCAAAGGCATCCTCTCCGTTGAAAATCGGTAAATCGATTTTCCTTCCAACTTTATTAGGATTCCGATGTTGATTTTGGCGTTCGCGATCCGGATGCGAACCAGAATGATCGGAATTGGTTTCAGAACCTTCCGAACTGTCATCACGCTTCGTCTGTTTCCTCTGTGATGATCGACGCGAATGGTTCGATTGGTGTGAACGACTTCGCGATCTCTCCGAGTTTCTGCTCTGCATCTCCGCTAGATTAGCTTGCATTGTGGCCAACGCGGTAGTGAAATTTGACTGCATCTCTCTCAAATTTCTCTCCATGCTAGCTTGCATCTCCCTCTGGCTCCTTTCAATTTCCGTCAATCTGCTTTCCATCCTTGCGCGCGTCACGGTCATCCAGCGATCAAACACGCTCTGATACCAATGATAGTAACCAGTAGCAATCCACAATACACACAACAAGCTTACAACAATTCACAAACTTCATTAATGGCGGTAAACCGTAGAACAGTCCCAAAGCTAGAGATAATACTCTAACTTCCCAGTCCCAAGCCAAGCATCTAACAGACTGCCTAACTTCTGACCAGTTTATTCTATTTATAGTCCCCTCCCTTTATTACAAGTAGTTAGTATTTCATAACTACCCGCCTGCCAACAACTAAACTACTTCTTCTTTCTAGAATAGACTAAACCATATCTATTCTTATTAATTGTAATAGCCGGGGTCCTATCACTACCTAACCTTTGGACAATAATTATTTTGGGAAAAATTAATGCCACTCGCATAACTCCTCTTAGACTTCAACTCTTTATTACTTTTTGCATTTTTTATTAGTGGAATCAAGGCTAAGTGAAATCAACCATGTACGTTTTTCAAATAGGCTATCAACGAATAAAATATAAGTATATTTTAAAAATGAAGTGGCATGAATAAAAGATATAACCCATGTGGTCATGCATGTTTTGTTGTTAAAGAGAGGTCCTTAGAGAGTCGGAGAGGAACTAAAAAGGAAACAGTGCTAATTACTGGAAAGAAGAACAAAAAGTAAAATCTACAGGGGCATTAAATGAAAAAACACTATATTTGCAACAACAAAAACATATTTAAGCTTATAGAGTATTAAGGAACTGTTCATTTGCGCTGAAGTAATGGGACTGAACATTGATGGTTTTTTGGACTGGTCTGTTCAATTTTGATCTGGTCTTGTTTGAAGTGTTCTTATATTATGATTTTATTATTGCTCAAGTCTAGTCTGGTCTAATCTCGAGTCTCGACGTCCTTATATGTTTAAGTTTGCTATGGTCCACTCTGAGACTGGAATAAATTCAGATGAACAGGTCACAACTATTAAACACTTTTTTTACAGGCATGCTTCTTCATGCTAGTCTGGCAAACTAGTGTTATAATTGAGTGTAGTGTTGTTAATGGTTGCCTTCTTTAATTTTTCCCTAGCTGTGAGATCCTGCGATCTTAATTACCATAATCCTGAGTGAACATTTTTTTGCTGTTCTATCACAGTTGATACCAAGAGTACAGGAGTATAACTGTATAAATGATTTTTTGTTGTTGATGTAAATACAATCAAATAATAATATAATTAATATTGCATTGATAGAGACATCAATTAGCAATTATATTGATGCTTCATTGTAACACTTGAATGAACTTAATTTGCATGCAGTGGCGAGTAAATCTTTGTGGCCAGAGTATGAGATCTCAAGTGAGGATGAATTTTATGACATATCTAATGATCTCCCTCATTCTACATCTCTAGTTTCTACCAGCCAATTAGATGAAACATTCAATTCACTGCTAGATGCCTTTGAGGTAGCCATTATAAGTGTACTATGGATAATGATTTTTTATTTATTTATAAAAGTATGTCATTTGTGATATGTGACATTTGTTTTCAGGGGGACGAGGACAAGAAAAGTTGGGCATCTTTCCAGGAGAGGATATCATGTGCCCCTGAGCAAGTAATGAGGTACAAGGCTCTTTTAGTTCCAATAATGTATATGAAGACCTAGTGTATTAACCTAAAAAGTCAAACTAATAGGAGTAACCCATATCTTATATGCTAGTTTATTATCTTAGATTTAGCTCATGTGGGACAATACTTCAACAATGTTCTTAATTTTGTTCCTTTGAAGGCACCTCCAATTCTTTTTACCTGGTTAATCTAATTTTTACAAGAACTGTGTTACTCTTTCCCGGATTTTATATGCAAAACTACTTTAAGATTTTAATGTATTTGATTGATTGCCTCATAAACAGGTACTGTAGGTACCCTAAAGCCAAACCCTTGTGGCCCATGTCGAGTGGCCAGCCATCAAACAGTGACATCCCAAGGTGCAGCTACTGTAGTGGTCCTCGAGTTTTTGAATTTCAGGTAATTAATTTAGATTTCTTCTGAATTATTGTCAGTCACTATTTTAGGCTTTTTAGTGTAGTGGTACTCTGTACTCCCTCCGTCCCGTTAGAAGGTTCCCGTGAACGGTTTACGATGTTTGACCGACGATAAAGCAACTTAATCCCTGTTCACACTCTGATTATTTTTAGTAAATAAAATTAACATATTCAGAAACTACATTAAAACCGCTACAAAGGCTGATAAAAAAATGTAAATTTGGTAAAAATTTGGTTTATAAAGTAAGATTTAAAATGATTTAAGTTGACCATAAGAATAGTAGACGGGAACCTTCTAATTGGACGGAGGAAGTATTATTTAGTAGCCATGTTTAATTGTTTATTTAATTGCTCTGGATCTGATATTTGGACTGTAATTTTCTTGTTTGAACTCTTCTGGTCTCATTTTATGTTATCGTCTTCATAAAAGTTGTAGAACTTCAATTTATCTTCTCAATGGTATAAAAAAGGGCTCACATGCATAATCCTATACTTACTACATATGATCGAATGTAGAACTAAATGTTGTTCCAACTCTACAGCCTGTTGGATTAAGAAGACTACTTCAGTGTTTTAGAACTTCAATTTAGTTTTTCAATGAAACAAAATTGCTTAAATGGATCGTTTTTTATTTACACATGATCCAATCCAACACTTTGTTTGTACAAAGTCAACATAATTGACTTTATATTTTTTGGTCAAATAAGCACACGTTTGGGAGCAAGTGATTGAGCAAAGTCTTCAAAATTGAGCAAGTGAAGAGTTAGGAGTGATATGTTTTTTCTTAGGTTGGATGAGAGTATGACTTTGGAAAGAGCAAAATGGACATAAGATATTCGTGTGGAGGATTGATCTCATTTCAATTTTTTTTATCTTTCTTATACGGTATCTTTTTATCCTTTTATCTTATCTTTGTTTATCTTATCTCAGTGCTTATACCGTGCAACCGGTGCATGGTGAGCACCATGACTCTTTGTTATTTTTTATTTCTCCTTTTCTTAAAATTGTTAATAATTTTTTTATTTTTGATCCGATTTTTATAAAATTTATATCAAAATTTTTTATTTTTCATGATCTTTCAAATGGGACCAATATTGTCTATGTAATTTTAATTTTTTACATTCATACATTTTTTTGTAATATATTTTTATATGCATACACTTTTTCTATAATATTTTTTTTTCACTTTTATATGTTTTTAGAGGTTTTTAAGATATTAAGTTTGTTTATTTTGCTTCTAGCTTGGAGTTACATTTGATAATATACGAAGTTATATCATCTTATACTCCAGTTACAAGTTATTATGTGTGAGTTACATCTTGTTATGTGTGAGTTACATCTTGTTATACACGAGTTACATACTTTTATGCGTGAGTTACATGTAATTATGTGTGAGTTACATCTTGTTATATGTGAGTTACATCTTGTTATACACGAGTTATATACTTTTATGCGCGAGTTACATGTAATTATGTGTGAGTTATATATAATTATTTGTGATTTTTTACTTATCTTTATCTTGAACTAATTCAATTATAACTGAATTAATTTTTTCTTTGCCAATTTAATACAAAATTTTATTAATCCACATAAAATAAGTATATTGTATTTCATATTCATACACTATTTTTCAAATGATAAAAATAAAAGATGTAGCGGGGGTTTATTTCGTGGTGTAACTCACATACATTAAGATGTAACTCGCGTATGTTAAGATGTAACTCGTGTATGTTAAGATGTAACTCGCGTATAATAAGATGCAACTCGCACAGAAGATGTAACTTCATGATATATTATCAAATGTAACTTCAAAATAATTTGTTAAAATTACATAAGCAATATTGGTCTCATTTGATAGATCATGAAAAATAAAAAAATTTGATATAAAATTTATAAAAACCGGATATCAAATAAAAAAGTTATTACAATTTTTAACAATAAAAGAAATAAAAAATAATGGAATCAATCCTGAAGCTGCGTCGTTTTGCAACCGGGCGCACCATCCTCATGGTGCGCCGGTTGCAGGGTATACATTGCGATCTTATCTTGACTTTTTATCCTTTTTATCTTAGCTTGTCTTTTTATCTTTTTAGGTTTTAGCTCTGATTTCATATGTTGATTCATGTTTGCCGACTCCAATTTTTTTACTAAGGCATATATATTATTGATGTTGTTGGTCAAATAAGTACGTGTATTTCTTTAAGTCAGGTCTGTTTAGATCCGGTTCGAGATTTATGTGTATTCTAATAAGAGAGGAGAAGATTTATAAGTTAGAATATTTATCACAGAATTAATAAGAAATACTCCCTCCGCCCCCCTATAATTGTCCCATTTTTTCATTTTTGGATGTCCCTTTATTATTGTCTCATACCATATTTGGTAACATTTGTGTGGCTCTAATTCATTCTTACTTTATTTCCACTGTATCAACTCATTACCAACCACATAATTCTACTTTTCTTAAAAGCCACACCACTCCCTTCCCTACCAATATTAGGGGGAGGGAGGGAATAAGAGAGAAGATTTATAAGTGGGAGGGAGTAGATGAAAATAGAAAGTGTGAGAGAGAAGATGAAGAAGTAAGATAAAACTCCGCAAAAGTTGCCCAAAACAGAAATGGATGAAGTAATAAATACTTCCCAAAAAGAATACATATCAAATAATAAACTATAGGGAGGGAGTATTATTTAATGCTAGTCTTGTGAGGTCGGATTTGATTTTTTTTGGATTTAAGTCTCATCAGATCTAGTTGTTTCAAGTCTACTCATGTACAGAATAAGTCTAAATGAACATTTTCTAATGGCTATTCTATTGAATTGCTTTATGAGTTTATAGTTCTTTTTTGTTCATTGTGTTTGAAGTCCTTGCATATTGCAGATTTTGCCCCAACTACTTTACTACTTCAATGTGGGAAATGATGCGCATTCTCTTGATTGGGCAACTATGGTTGTATACACTTGTGAAGCCTCCTGTGGAGGATCTGGGGCTTACAAGGAGGAGTTTGTATGGGTTCAAGTTCCATCCCAGTCATAGAATACTTGGGATAAACAGAACCATACGTTACATTGTTAAGTTTATTTTGGAAGGGATCGTGGAAAAACGTTGATAGATATTTGTTTCTACCAATTCAGAATATCGCTGTTTTATTATTTTTTTGGGAAAAGTACGGAAAAGATACTTGTGGTTAGACCCGTTTACGGATAGGGTCATGTGTTTCATTTTTTTTATCAAAGTGGTTCATGCTTTTGAATTCCGTTATCAAAAGAGGGTCACACACTCACACCGTTAGAAAAGCATGAGAAAGACAGTTAATAGTTCTCTGATTTTCAAAGTCCGGAAAGTTGAAAGAAAAACACCGGAAGGTGTGCTTCGTCAAGATAACCTCCAAAATATTCGCCTTTGGATTTTTCAGAACTGTTTGAATTATTTTTACAAATGGTTTTCCAAATATCACTTTTCCAGTTGACTTTCCGGTGACAAGGGTGGTTGGAAACAAAAAGAACGATGACATTGGATGTTTTTACTTGGACAGTAATTCCTCCCAGATCAGATCAGACTAGATCAGATCAAACTTGGATAGTTATAAAAATACAAAGAAACCAGATCAGATCAGATCAGTAAATTACAGTCCAAGTAAAAACATCCATAGTGGTTGTCTTGTTGAGATCCACCTTTCGGTATTTTTCTTATAATTTTTCGGGCAATTGAGTTGAGCCGCTCGTGAGCCGCTCGGTCAAAGCTCGAATTGAGTTCGGTCAAACTCGAGCTCGAGCTGGCTCGTTAAGTAGTCGAGCCATAAACGAGCCTACTAATTTTAGGCTCGCGAGCATAGTTATAATGTGTGTATATTTATATATTTAATATTATATATATATATAATAATATAAATTAATATATTTAATATATATTATATTAATACAAATTAATATATAAAATATATTAGTATGTATAATATAAATTAATATATAATACCGATTGGTAAATGTATATGAGGATCGGGGAGATATTATATTTTCCGTTCCTGTAACTCTAGTTTCAGTTAAATCATAATGGTTTGATCATTTTTTATTTATTTTGGACAACATTTACTCTTCTTTTAGTTGTTGGGCATGCAAATTTCAATTTGCAAATACTAAGCACAAATATTCAAAGATTGTTTCATACTTGAGCTCGAGTTCGAACCCGAATTTTCGAGCTAATCAAACTTGTAACATTTGAGTTGACGAACCAAAATTATCGAGCCGAATCGAGCCATGTCAATATTTGCGACTCGAGCTCGAGCCCAGATTTTTTAAGCTCGTTCGAGTCGAGCTGGAGCTCGAGCCAATACAATATATTTCGAGCTCAAGCTCGAGCTTACATAAACTCGGGCTCGGCTCAACTCATTTGCACCCCTATGACACGAACCACTTTGGTAGAAAATGAAACACATAGCTCTATCTGAAAACATGCTCAACCATTTTGGTAGAAAATGAAACACATGGCTCCATCGTTTTCCACCGGTTGTCACTATTGTCTGGTCATTGCCTCTGCTTCCAGGTTGTGTTCTCCGCCTTCGCCTCTATTCTAGGTCGTGTTCTCCGTCTCTAGATAGTCGCCCTCTGCCCTTCTCCTTCTTTAATTTTTGTTCGATTAGAGATGACGAGGACTTGAAGGGTGGGGAGAAGAGTCAGGAAAGAGAGGGAGGGGAAGACCCAAACAGACTTGGATTAGAATAATCAGAATTGATATGCGTCTTCTTGGGTTGGATGATAGTATGGCTTTGGAGAGAGCAAAGTAGATGACGCACATCCATGTGGACGATTGATGTCTTGTCTATCTTATCTTTTTATATTCTTATGTTATTTTTATCTTCTAGCCTTTTTATGCTCTTTTATTTATTTTTCTTTTATCTTGGTTATATACTTATATTCTTGTGTTATTGTTATCTTATATTTATGTATCTTTATTTTATTCATTTTATGTTACTTTTTTTTTCCTTTTCTTGTCCGCCTTCTCTTTTTGGCATCGATATCATAGATCGATTCATGTTAGCCGACCCCAAATTCTTTTGGGATTAAGGCTTGGATGTTGTTGTTGTTGTAGAGATGACGAGGACGAGTCTCAAACGTAGAAGATGACTACAACATCATATCGGCGGTGGTGGAAGCGATTAGGATTAAGATCTGTGGCGGCGGCTAGGTATGTGGTTGTTCGGGACTGCGATGGAGCTCAAGGCAGTGGCGGCGGTTAGGGCTGATTGGGGATTGCGAAGGAGCTACGATTTGGCAATGGGTGTGGCAGCTAGGGTTGGGCTGGTTAGGAATTGGTTGTGACGGGGATAAGTCAGGTCTGTAAGGTAAGGGGCCGGGTACAGTTGGAGAAGGGGATGCAAGCAGGTGTTTGGATCGTTTATAACTAGGCGGGATGATGGCGGAATACTGGTCACTGGCGGCGGAGGAGGACAGATCACTGGCGGCTGGGGACTGGTCACTGGTGGCGGCACGAGATTGGTCACTAGTGGGTGCGGGGACGAGTCACTGTGTCACGCCCCAGACCGTGTCTGTGCCACGTAGACAATCGTCGTACAACCCAAATAAGAATAACCGCAGTTCGTCCTTACTAAATTGCACAAGACGTCCGATAGATACATATGCCAAAACCGACTAGTAAACATACATAACAACATCAACATACAATTAAACACATAGCGGAATATAAGTGTTTAATAAGAACCCACACAAGGGTAAAACAAGAGCTCGCAGGCTCCATTAATTTATAAGTAAAAAATAGTTCCATGAGCATTATTTATTTATTTATTTAGAAATAGAACCGAGGAAGCATGAACCACGTCTTCTCTCCATCGATCTCCCGAACAACGGGTGTAGGAAGTAAGCTCTAGATTCAACCTGAAATGGTGGTTCCCCCGAGGGATCAGTACAATTGAAAAGTACTGGCGATGGCAAACTATATGTAATATAACTAACGTTTCTTACATGGGACCCTCAACATAGGGTGAGAGTATATGTATAGGCATAACTCTTGGCTACCCCTTTTCAAAACATATTGTATACATATATACATATGAGTAAAATATCCGGCCCGTGGGCCCATTTGTCTTTCAAATCATTTAGGCGTAATAGCCTCATTAAATTCACCCTTCTCATGTCCTACCCTCGAGTGGAGTCACCCGCAGGCTAACTCACCTGATAACAAAAGATAATTATTGTGGGGGCCCTTCGGGCTCCCATATCACGGATATGGTTTAAATTAAATTCCTAGACCAAGGAAAATACCCTATCGGGAACTCATTCCCGATCAAGCATGGTTAATCATTTAAAATCATTACCTTGAGGTTCACCTACCTCGAGGACTATCCGTCCTTACAAGTATAGTTTACATTCCCAGGGCTAACCCCGCCTTGAGGAATACACATACACCCTCATCCTATGTGTAATTTGCTGGAGGTTAACACACCTCAAAGACTACACGGGCCCTTGTTACCTATATGCAATTTGATGGAGGATATCACATCTCAAGGACTGCACTTGCCTTTGTTACCTATGTGTAATTTGCTGGAGGTTAGCACACCTCAAGGACTACACGGGCCCTTGTTACCTATATGCGATTTGATGGAGGTTAACACACCTCAAGGACTGCATTTTCCCTTGTTACCTATGTGTAATTTGTTGGAGGTTAACACACCTCAAGGACTACACGGGCCCTTGTTACCTATGTGTAATTTATTGGAGGTTAACACACCTCAAGAACTACACGGGCCCTTGTTACCTATATGCAATTTGATGGAGGTTAACACACCTCAATGACTGCATTTGTCCTTGTTACCTATGTGTAATTTGCTGGAGGTTAACACACCTCAAGGACTACACGGGCCCTTGTTAACGTTCGTGTGTAGAGGACTCCTCCTGGTCCTGCAGAGTATTATATGACCTTACTTGGTCCCGGGTATTCACCCGTCACGTATAATCTACCACCTACCTCACCAGGTCGTGGTCTATATCGTTTATTTACTAATGACTAACCCAAGCCTTAGCATTTAAATATCATATTCCAAGCCTTAGCAATTTAAACAACATATTTCATGCAATTCCATGCAAAATATTCATATATAGGATGGTCGGGATTAATCCCACGTCGAAACCCGTAGCATAACCGACGCCGGTTCACTGGCTGATCGGCGCCGGTTCAGTTTGTCAAATTCTAACTAGCTGGCAGTAGCTTAACCGGCACCGGTTCATCCCATAACCGGTGCCGATCCACTATCTTGGACCGGGTCAATGCCCTGTTGACCGTACGAAACAACTCCGATTGATCCAAAATTTTAAATACAACATGTAATTAAGTCATAAACAATCATTATATGCCATTTTGGTCACTCAAAACATTTCTTATGTTTTTTTATAATATTCCAAATCATTCCATGTAATTATGCTCTAGTTTATTTCTCATAAACTAGATTACTTTCATAACTTGCATGATTATACACTTTTAATTCTTCTCAAGAATAACATCTTGAATTCCTTTTATTCATTTCATAATGAGCCATTCATGGTCACCATCCAATTAGAATATTTTATTCACAAAAATTATTAATCGGGTCATTTATACCAGTTAATCATTCTTGTATATTACTCTAGTTTATTTCTCATAAACTAGGTTATCTTAGTAGCACGTGTACTTAAGAATTTCTTAATTCTTCACAAGAATATTACTTGAATTACTTTGATCATTTCTCAAATGAGCTAACAAAACATTTATATTAATTAATTATAGCTTGTATATTTCCCTAGTTTATTTCTCATTAGGGCCGACCATGGGGGGAGGTAGCCTAGACATTTCTAGGGCCTCCAAATTTTGTAGGGCCTCCATTTTTAAAAATAATAATATTATATATACTTAAATCCTTAATTTAATTAATTGAAATACAAAAAAAATAGTTTAGAACTAAAGCTACGTTGATGCAAAATATAAAAAAATCAAAATTAGTAATTTTCTTACCAAATTTGCTATTAGAATCTCCATGCATTTTTCACTCTTTTATTGCTTACATTCAAAAAATGATATTCTTTGCATTAGTAACACATGGTATATTTTGGACTGTACTTTACTTCTATTCGGGGCGTAATTAGAATGTCCTTTTTATTTTTTAGGCTCCGATCCTCTCCAAATTTGTAAAATAATTATATGTATTTATATGTTAAAAGATTGTGTAAACACAAAAAAACTTACCAATTCAAGCCACATTAATATTTCTTTTTGGTTAT